TTAAAATTCTTAATATTCTTATCAAGTTAGGAAAACCGATTTTGAGTATATTTATAGAAAACATTTCAACAATAGTACAGTACTAGGCGCCTGTAGTGCGAATGGCACTAATTTCATATATTTTTGAAAACATTAAAACAGAATTAACACATTGAACTTCATGACTATAAATAATATTAAAAATACTTATGTTGAGTTCCATTGTGTAACCAATGTGTAAATCTAAAAGGCTTCGTAGAAACCGTGCTCACCTGCGAGCGACTTGCAGTCCATGTATCAGAGATATAATCTCACAAGTCACAATTTAGAGAAATTAAATATATCTATTAGTAAAAGAGTAACATAAATAAATTTTCAAGTTTTTTTTCTACCGTAGAAATCAAATTTAACTCTGCGTTACTAAGTTATTCGCATGTTCAGCAATAATTCCACACATATAGGTTTTCTTATGTTCACCACCCCCCCCCCCCCCCCCCCCCCCCGCCTGTTTTTAAAAGCAGTATTTTCCTGAATTGTTGAAGGGAAAAGTGCTACAATACAAACCATTGGTTTGACCCAACTTTATTAAAACCCATTTTTTACAATTTGCAATTCTTTTGTGCCAATCTGAGTTCTTATTTTGTAATTATATAGTAGGTCAAAAACTCAGATCAATTAAGTCAAAATTTTAATGCTGCTACGACGAAGAGGAGAAGGAATGGTGATCCATCTATTTTCTGTGTATCCGAACTCAGATAAAATTTATTTCGTTTTTGCGAAATTTGTAAAAGATTTAGCTGTCGTGTACACTATGTTGATGATTATGACAATATGAAAAGTAAATATAACTGTGATAATAAAATATGTAATTATACCCGTTCGAACGTATGTTCGAAGGATATACTAAATTTGCCTTACCTTTTGTCACTCTAAGAAATAATGGTTTGAGATATAGACTCAAGTGTATGGTTTTGATCTAATAGTATCTAATGTGTTTGATAAAATTCGATGAAATTGCTTGGCTCTTTCTGGTAGCTGCCATACAACTTCAATAGTAGTTTGACCGTATCTTAGGAAATATTGAAAGTATTAAAATTTTGCATAAATTAATATGGTAACTTAAAGTTATAGTATGTCCCATAGTCAGCTATGACATATTTATTCGCACATAGGATAGCAAATTCGTACGGGTACCACAGAGTTGACACGGTCAACTCTATTTTTTCTCCTTTTCAGCACTTTTCCAAAAATTTTTTGAAAAAAAGTGCTTGTTAGTTTTACTCTGTCCGCGGTCCGTCCGTGAACATGTTTACAAAACTTCTACACCTTTGAAGAGAAAACTGAAATTTAATATGTCCATAGACCTTTACTAGAAACTTTTTTCCGTGGAAGAAAATTTTTTCCTACCTCCCCCCTTCTAGAAGTTATACCCCCCTAAAAACCCTAAAAATGCATTTTTATAAATGTTTATTCCAATGAAACCATAAGCATTTTTCAAATTTTGCAAACGAAGAAAGCCAGTATGTTGCTTCTCTTATCGCAGCACACTATAGTTAAACTTTAAAAAAATAAAATGGCCGTTCAAATTTACCGTTATCTAAAATCCGTTTTTTTTAAATTTTTGATACAAGTTTTTCTTCTAGAACCCAGGTTGTGGGAGCCTGAAATTTTAGTAGCTTTCAGGCACTAAAAAATAGCTCATTTCGTTAGAAGAAAATTTTTTTCCATCTCCACACCCTCTCAAGTTATCGCCTTTTGAAATTTGTAAAATTTGAATTTCTGACGCATTTTGACATTAAAAAATATAATTATTTTATATATAATTATAATTAACACTTAAAATCAAGCATTATGTTAACCTCTCTTTAAGTTAATTTTTGCTTTATTTCAAGGACTGCATAAATCGTTCATCCTAAATATATGCAATCCTAGAAATAGTTTCGTTTGTGAATGAAAATAATTGTAATAGTTGACCCAAATTCATTTAAAAAAAAAATCTGATGTGGTCAGCACATAACCGACCGCATTGAGTATTGTCTAGTTAAATGAAAGTGTTACAGAATATTATAAAAATGTCTGTTAAATACTTCTCTCCAATTTTTAGGACATTAGTAAGCTTATAGTTAACATACTTAGAAAAATGTAAATTTGGCTCTTAGTAGAGTTTCGCTTTGTGCTACCCGAATTCCCTGAAATGCTCGCCAGTTAGTTTCGGTAACAACCAGAACTCAAATATCAAATTTCAAGAAATTCCATCAATTTGTTCTGTGGATATGGTGAAAAATGTAAAATCGGCCCGCAAATCAGTTCTCGAGCCCTGATCTTTCCAAAAAAGTTAAATGTTCATTGCTTTAGTATGAGGAATTCATATATTAAATTTCAATGAAATCGGTTGATTATTTCTCTTTATATACACAAAAATGTATATTTGGCCCGTAGTAAACGTCTAGTTGCCGATGCCTGATCTTTCCAAAAAAATTTACATGTTCATTGTTTTAATACGGGGAATTCATATATTAAATTTCAATGAAATCGGTTGATTATTTCTCTTTATATACACAAAAATGTATATTTGGCCCGTAGTAAACGCCCAGTTTCTGATGCCTGATTTCTTCCAAAAGTTAGGAATTTTTGCGTATGATCGAGCAAAGCTTATATATGAAATTTCAAGTAAATCGGTTGAATATTTTCTTCAAAATGTTTAAAAATGTAAAACAGGCCCGCTAAAAAGTACAGTTCCCGAGGCCTGATATATACCAAAAGTTGATCGATCCGTGCCATGGTGGAAACAAACTTACATATAAAATTTCATCAAAATCGGTTATGCCGAACTTGAGATACACGCATGCACACACAGACCGACAGACCGACAGACCGACAGGTTGCTAAAAATAGTTTATTTACACTTCCCTACTATGGAGAAGTACGTTCCCACCGAAAACTCGATATGCAAAATTTGTTGCCATCACATAACCTACCTATTGTTTACACAATACGGTCGGTAATTATGGTATGTTATATATTTGAACAGTGTACACTCTATACGAGCAGGTTTTTGCTCTTCAGAGAAGTAAATAAATAAATAAGATTAATGAAAGTAACCTGTTGGGTACAATTATTGACACTCTTAAGTGTTATTTCTTATAAAAGTTTTCTATACAGAATTATCAAAATTTAACCATTAGTAAAATATAAATTGAATATTCCTCCTTCATAATCATATACCAAAATTTATCAAATATTAAAAATTAAATTTGGTTGCTCGAATACCAAAGAGTACAATAAATTATTGACACCCTTGTACGACTATTGATATTGCTTAATAGCTTCTCTATCTCTTCTTCAAAACTAGTCCAGTCAGTGTGTTCGCGAATAATTGCTAACAGCTTTAAAATTTTAAATGAAAGATAAGTTTTTGTGTTTTATAATTATCACAGTTTATTGTAGAAAGCACTAAATCCAAAAAAAAAAATTATGTACTCTTTTTTCTTTTATATTACAAATGTTATATTTAAAAAGTTGAAATTATATAATCCAAGAAAACTATCTTTGGCTTAACCAATTTTTTCCGTTTAAATTATACAATTGAAAAAATTATCTTATGTTTAACAAAAATTTATAATTCGAAATTCGATGTGTTGCGGTTAGCGATCTTCTATTTAGTAGTACTTCTTCTGAATCATTCTGTCCCTTTTACAATTCCTGGAATTAACGGTTGAGCAAACGGTGAAGTTTTTCCTGGCCAGTCCCATTTTTTGGTTGTTAACGTTTTTCTTCTTTTCTTTTACATAGATCATATGATATAGGTCAACGAATCTGTAATGCAATGTATCAATCTTATGTACATCGCAATACAAATTGTTGTTGTAAAATTCTACGTTTCTTCTTTTCTATTTTACGCTATTTTCCCCTTCCATTCTACATTTCATTCACCTTCTATTCCTTTTCTTACTCCATTACACTTCTATCAATAGCTGACTATAACTCTACATAAACTCGTCTATGACCATAGGTGACAGTTGGCATTGAAATATAATGTTTGTGCAGAAATGATCGCTGCAAACTGCCCATTAGTTTTATTTACATTGTGAGGTGAACATAAGTGTTTAAAGAAACAAAAATATAATTTCACAAAAACGGAGATTTAATGGAGACGGAGTCCAAAAAAATGCACAAGTGGAAGGAAAAAACGGTGGAGGATGAAGCGCAAAAGAAAAGTGCTCGACAGGCATTTGAAAACCTCATCTGGACTGGTAGATGCATAACTGGAAGACATTGCAAATTCATGTAAGTATTTTATTACAAATAAAATTACTTGCCAAATCCAATATATTCAATTTTTAGGTCAAGAAACACAGCCCGATGAGTGGATTGAACTGGATTGCAGCAAGTTTATATAAGTAGCAAAAATGTTTTTTTTTGTATATAAAGTAGTGTTTCTTGGTAAGTTTTCAAGTTTCGATTATACGTTCCAAATGCAAATTGTACCCATCACTAAAGTCATGTCCCTTTAAGTCTTCACCTGTAACGAAAAGAGCAGAGGGATAGAAGGAAGAAGTTATAGCGCTCTATCTCGCTTTCCGGAAATTCAGGAAGTGAGAATTAGGAAAAAAAAATCTATTAGTAATAAGTTAACTAACAAATTAATTTAAGTGTTACTTAAGTTAATTTAAGTAACTTAAATTAATTTAAGTGTTACTTACTTTTAAGTTAATTTTAATCTTAGGTTACAAGTGTTTGTATTAGGTGCCTCTACTTTTTTTTTTTTTACGTTAAGTACCGTAAATAAATGTTATTAGGTAGTGCGATGTTTTCCGTGGAAGAAAATTTTTTCCTACTTCCCCCCGTCTAGAAGTTATACCCCCCTAAAAACCCTAAAAATGCAATTCGGTAACGTTAGGTTGCGCGATTTCCTCCCGTTTTTTCTTTTCTTTTTATTGCGCATTAAGTGTAGTGCTACTTGCGTACGATTAAATAACGATACATTACGCGATTTTTTTTTTTGTTTTTCAAAAATGCTATTAATCGGTTTCGATTGATTGCGTTTTAGTTTCATCATAATTTTCCATCGTATCTACTGGTAGTAAGCATATCTTTGCAATCGAGCGTTTCAACATGTTATCCTTCGTTTTTAATTCGAACAACTCCATCGGGTGTCGAACAAGTCCATCGAGACCAGAATGAATCTCTGTTATTCGACCCATTAACCATCTGCTTGGTGGCAACTTCTCGTCCCTATGTAAAACCAAATCGTCAATTTTTATGTTGTCAGTCCTTTTAGTCCATTTTGGACGATGATGCAATCATTATAGGTATTCTTTACTCCAACGTGTCCAAAAGGTTTGATGTAATTTTTGCAATAGCTGCCATCTGTTTAATCTGTTTTCATTTAAATCTAGCAAAGAAGGTTCAGGTTGTGTTATAGTTACATCACCAGTCAGGAAATGTCCAGGCGTCTGAATTTCTGCTAACTTCACAAAGAGGTCTAGAGTTTTGGCAAGCCTCAATCTGAGTTAAGACCGTTGAGAACTCCTCATATGTCAACCTTGCATTTCCAAGTATCCTTTTAAGATGCTGCTTTGTAGAGCGGACACCAGCCTCCCATAATCCGCCAAAGTGAGCTGAACCAGGTGGTATGAACTTGAAAACTACTCCCTCATGTTCAAGTACTTGTGCTAAATCTGATTTTAATTGTTGTAACATCTGTTTGTGTTGCTTTGCAAGCTCTTTGCTAGCGCCGGCAAAATTAGTACCATTATCGCAATAGAGTACCTTGCACCTGCCGCGTCTGGTACTGAATCTTCCGTATGCTGCCATCAATCCCTCGCTGTTGAGGTCTGTGACTAGCTCGATATGTATAGCCTTAACTGCAAGACATACAAAAATAGATATGTACGCCTTATATGTCCTCGGATTTTCCTTTATGTGTTCTCAATTCAAATGGCCCGCAATAATCAACGCCAGTCAACGCCAGTATATGTAAATAGCCGACTGGCCGCAACCCGAAAAGCAGGCAAGTCTCCTATAAGCTGTTTTTGAACTGCAGCCCGCTGTCGATAGCACGTGATACATTTATGTATTTGCTGTCGAATTTGATCACGTGCACCAACGATCCAAAACCTTCTATTTATTACGTTGACCATAAGTTGAGCACCACTATGTAAAGTTTCGCGATGAATTTTCTCTAAAAGTAGTCACACAAAAGGGCTTCCATCGGGCAATATAATCGGAAATTTTTCATCGAAATTCAAATGTGCATATCGCAATCCCATTCTCAATATTCCATTTTGATCCGGAGAAGGATTAAGCCTCGCTAAACGACTATTTGTATGAATAAGCCTCGTTTTTCGTAATTGTGACATTTTTTTTTAAAAAATGCTTACGAGTATGTTGCACTATTTGTACCCACATCTCTATACTAGCGTTGAATTCTGACACTGATATGAATGTATTGCAATTTATATTCCTTTTGGTTAATTTGGCGATAAATCTTTTGAGGTAACTCGTTACATTGACGAGTTTCGTAAATGATGAATATCGCGTTTCCAATTCGTGAATCTCGTTGCGTTCGTTATCATTAATGATCGTGTTGTGACATAGAGTTGATTTCCCTATCTCGCTGTCTGTATCTTGAAGTAATATTTTAGTCGGCCAGTGTGACTCTGGTTTCTGCAACCATTCTGGGTCGCTCTACCACACTTTGAAGTTTGAGAGATCCGGTGGCGCATTCACCGTGAAGCACAATCTGCTGGGTTTTCCTTTAAGGGTACGTGACGCCATATGTTTTTGCTTAATGTGTGATATATCTCAGCAGTCCGATTTGCTACAAGCGTTGTCTATTTGCTCGGGTGAGCCCGCAACCAAGTCAACACGATCTCTGAATCTGTCCAAGCTTGCACACTCGATATATTTTGAATTTTTAATACTCGCTGAACATATTTTATAAGTTTCGCCAAAAATGCTGCCCGCTCAACTCTAGTCTCGGCAAAGATATTGTTTTTATCGGAGCCACCTTTGATTTTACAGGTGACCACCAGGCAGACCACCGCTGCATACGCCTTTATCGAGGTATCACAAAATCCTTGTAGTTCTATTTTATTTGCCAACGTTGAATAGTAGAACCACCTGTTTATACGTTGTGCTTCCAGTTGAACAAGAGTCTTCCTGCAAATCTGCCATTCATCGTGCAAGCTCCTTTCTACCTCATCATCTCATCCTGAACCCGAAAGCCATAATTTTTGTATCATTACCTTAGCTATAATGATACAAGGTGCTAACCAGCCGAGAGGATAGAAAAGTTTTGAAACCTGCAGCAATATTGTTCGCTTTGTCCATTTCTGTGAATCATTCTACTAGGGAAATTTTATACGAAAATTGGTCGTTTGCTGGATCCCATTGTATGCCTAATGTTTTGACTGTTTCAGCTTCTTCAATTTTTAAAGGTCAATTGATTTCTTGATGTTCTTGTGGAAGGGCTTCTAGTAGTTCAGCTGCATTTAATGATCACTTGCGCAATGAGAATCCGCCCGAAGCCATCATGTCCAATAATTGTTTTTGCATTTCCAATGCCTTTTCGATAGAATCCGCACCTGACAGCAGATCATCCACATAAAATGATTCCAATGTTATTTTTGATGCAAGAGGATAGCTTACCTTTTCGCCATCGCCAACTGTTTTAATACACGTGTTGCTAGAAACGGTGCTGATTTTATACCAAATGTTACCGTAGTTAATTTGTAGTCCCAAATTGATTGACTCGAAGAAGCTCTGCAGACTATTTTTTGATAATCGGCATGTTGCAGTGCAATTCGGATTTGCCTATACATCTTCTCCAAATCTGCTGTAAATGCAATTTTATATTTTCGAAAACGTAATAGAAGAGTAGATAAATCATCTTGGATGACTGGGCCCTTTAATGTTTTGTCATTTAATAATGAACCATTCGAAGTAGGCCGTGATGCATCAGGAACCACTCGTAGTTTTGTTGTTGAGCTACTTTCCCTTATGACGCCTTGATGTGGCAAATAATTCGAAATGATTTGTTGATTTTTTAATTCCGTTGACTTCACTTGCTCCATATGGTTCATGTCTAAATATTCAGCTATACACTTGCTCTAGTTGTCTTTTAGTATCTCATTTTTTGAAAATTGTTTCTCCATGCCGAAAAGCCTGGCAATCGCAATATGTCTTGAACTTCCAAGTGATATTGGACGCTCATTCGGCATAAAAGGTAACTCAGTGTATGATGCAACTGAACCTGACAGCGTACATCCTCAAGTCTACGAATATTTTCAAAAAAATACCTTTCACACAATAATTCCTCCTCTGTAAATATTGTTTGTTCCGGTACTCCTTCTAACTCCCAGAATTTTCTGATGCTATGATCTAAATCGGATTGGATGTGGAACGTCTCTATTGATGTCGTGTTCACACTTTGTTGATCGACATTGCCTGTTATGATCCATCCAAAAATGGTTTTTTGAGCATTTGGTGCACCAGGAGGACCCTTTCTTAGTCCCTCTAAAATAATTTGGCCAAAAATGTCTGCTCCGATGAGTACATCTATTTTTCCCATCGAAAAATAACCTGGATCAGCTAGGATCAATCAGTCTATGTGTTACCACTCCTTAGTTTGAATATTACGCTCTGGTAGCAACTTGGTAAGTTTCTTCAGAACCAACGCCCAAGTTCGCACCTGCTTGGAATCCCTTAGATCTCGTATGATGACATCCACTTTTGCTAATGATTGGCCGATGTTGCTTTCTGATACACCGTGTATATTTGTTATTGTCCTGTTTTTCAATTCAAATTCTGAACCGCTGATTCGGTGATGAAAGAACTCTGTGAACCAGAATCGATTAGAGCTCTAGCCCTCTGATAGCGTCCCGTTGCTGGACATACTATTTTAATGCACGCAGTAATCAGTAGAACCTGTCGTGTGTGTGCATCCGATGTGCCGCAAGTGTGAACATGGCTGTTTCTACAACCGGGTACAAATGCTGGCGCCGATGTCGAAGTTTCACCTGCCATGGTTGGAGGTGACGGATCATGTGAGACGTAGTGCGCCCATACTTGTGACGCGACTGCGGTCTACTGTTGTCGCCGTGATAGGCCTCGATACCTTATTTCTTCGTTGTCCGTATGCGATAGGGTATGATGTCGTTGATGACATTTAAAGCAACTCTGTTGACCAGGGCAAGTGGTTATCATATGTCCAGAATTAAGACAGTTGATACACAATCCCCTACTTTTAACAGCTTCCAATGTTTTGTTTTGTCTTAATCCCAAAAACCTTTTGCATTGTTTCAACTTGTGTGGGCCCCGACAAATAGGGCAAGGTTGGTTACTATTCGCTGTTGCATCTGTAGCAGCATGCAAAGCGCAACTATTTCTGTACTTACTAACTTCGTTTTGTATAGGTCTATAATGTGATGAGGATCGCCTCGTTTATATAGCTTCCAATGTGCGAAATCTAAGTTGGTAATTGATTTTCTGCGCTGGCTCTCTGTTCCCACAGCTGATGTGTCTCGGTTGACAGCTTCTGCACGATGAGATAAACTATTATAGGATCCCAGCTCTCCACATATATTTGCAGATTCTTTAATGTCTGTAAGCACTCATTAGTACTGTCGAGTAATTTTCTAACTGCTGTAGCCGTTTCCTGATTTACAAAACTTTGGTTAAGTAGCAATTTAAGCTGAGTATTAACTAATACTCACTTGTTGTCATATCTTTCCTTCAACATGTTGAATGCAGCAGCATAATTATCTTCTGTGACTTGAAAAGCTATTAATAAATGCTATGGTTCACCGGAATGGTGCAATTTGAAGTACTGTAATTTATGGACCGCTGGAATCATCTCATTATTATGGACCAAAGATTTAAAAAGATCATAGAATGAAGGTCACTTCTGATAATCGCCGTCAAATTTCTCCAAGGTGATTTTTGGCAAATTTATTGCCAAAAATTACCTTGTATATCCCAAATATTGGGAACATCCACCCTTTATATTATATTATAATTTTATAATACTTTGGCTCATACTTTGATTTGGGTCCACCTTTATCTCCGGTGGTCTTTCTGAGAATTTGGTTTTCATTTCAGCTTCTATCACTTGGTGTTTATGTTGATAAAATGTTGTTATTTCGTTGAAAACGCTATTTTCCAAGTATGGTTACTTCACATTGTCCGCATTTTTGTCAGTGTATGATGCAACTAATATTTGCATATGCCTCTTCTTCCGCTCCACATACAGGCCTCCTATGTTGTTTAGTGCTATTTTGTAAAACCCCTTCGGCTTGCTTTCGCGTGTGGCATCCAAAAAATGTGAGACTATTTCCTCGATCAAAAACTTATCCGCTAATTGAAGCTTAATTAATTTGTCCATCCTATATACTTTCCATAAAAAACAGCAAGTGTGTCACGAAAATATCCCTTTACGTCAATGTAAAAGGAACGAAATACAAAAGTGAACGAGTACGAGCAATAAAAAAAAGAAAGGCTTATTATTAATCAACCGTAAAATTTTATTAAGGAATTCAGTCAATTTTTATTTTATACAAAGTTTTTATTTTGTAGAAAGTGTTTCGTTTTTTTTTTTACAACTTTATCGAAAAATAAAATCGCTATCGTGCAGTATTAAATTAATTTTAACTATGTTGCAATTCACTTATTTTATACAAATACTTTTAATTTATTCATTACACAATTTTTGCTTTCATTAAATGCTCTTAATTCATAAATTCACCTTTAAAAACCGGAATCCTCACGCGAAACAGAACTTCTATTGTTCGAATTAATAATCTTAAAATATTGTTAATAAAGTTGGGTCAAACCAATGGTTTGTATTGTAGCACTTTTCCCTTCAACAAGTGAAAATTCTGCTTTTAAGTACAGTCTATGTATACCTATCACACTATTAAAATTTATTTTCATTCATATATAAAACTATTTCTAGGATTGCATATATTTAGGATGACGCATATATGCAGTCTTTGAAATAAAGCAAAAATTAATATAAAAAGGGGTTAACATAATGCTCGATTTTAAGGGTTAATTGTGTGAGTTAAGGAAAATAATTATATTTTTTAATGTCATGGAATTTACCGTTAGCTTTTTGCGTTTATAGAAATTTGAAAAAACGTGCGATTTCGGAAATATAAGGTGTCAAAAATTCAAATTTTACAAATTTCAAGGGGCGATAACTTGAGAGGGGGTGGAGATGGAAAAAAATTTTCTTCTAACAAAATGAACTATTTGTTAATGTCTAAAAGCTCCTAAAATTTCGAGCTTCTACAGGCTGGGATCTAGAAGAAAAACGACATCAAAAATTTGGAAAAAAAGGACTTTAGATAACGGTAAA